AGTGCCATGAAGCTGTATGTACATAGGGGGGGGGGGAACACACCCCCCAACTGACTGGTGCCCCCCCCGGGGGGCTTGTCCTCCGTTTGGGGGCAGAACAGGCAAAGCAGTTACTAAATAAAGGTTAAGTTGATGGTGGGGAAGGGCTTGGCCACCTGCGCCACGGGGGGGAACATGTCACCCTGGGAGGGAACCCCTGCGTGTCACCCCACGTCCTCAGGGTCCCTCTCGGCCCCCAAAAGCAGGTGGGGAGGGGGCAGAGCCACCCCATGTCCTCCCACGGAAAGGGGACCAGGCGCTAGGTAAAAGGACACAGGTTTATTTGTCACACCCTCAGCTCAGTCCAGTGTGTCATTCTCCCCCCCTTCCCAGTACTAGGGGGCAACTGGGACCAGTAGGCAGCTGGGACTGGTGTTGGAGGAGGTGGTCCCCCATCTTAGGGTTGGGGGGTACAGCAGGAGATACCACAGATCCACCTCCCCACCACAGACCTGTGCCCTCTGAGGACACAGAGATGTCCCCAAAGGGCAGCACAGGCAGGACCTGAGCCCTGCTGGGGAGGGGACAAGGTGGGGGGGAGAGGGGGGAGAGGAGGGAGAGGTGACCCAAACCCTCCCAAAACCCTCCAGGGGTGACACGAAGGCACGGGGTGATATTTAAAAAAATAATAGTTAAAATAGGGGCGAAGCTGCAGTGATAGGGAACATTTACAGGGGCCGGAGGCACCGGAGCTGCTCACACCAGGAAGGAGGACGTCTGCTTGAAGTCACCCTGCAGGGACAAGGGGACACAGGATGGGACCCTGGTGGCTCTACCAGTGTCCCCAGGCAGAGCTGGTTTTGGTCCCTGAGATGCCCAGCTTGCTCCAAGAGGGACAGGGATGAGGGGCACCGGGAACAGGGATGAGAGACGCAGGGGACAGGGAGGGGACAGAGAAGGATGCTGGGGACAAGGAACACCAGGGACAGGGATAGCCCCTGTCAGCCCAGGGGACACCTCTGTCCCCAGCCCATCCTCACCTCGCTGCGGTGTGAGGGTTGGCTGTAAATCACCTTCTTGCCAGTGGAGCTGCAGAGAGTGACAGCATGAGAACCCCCCGTGTGTGTCCCCTGAGCCCCCCCCAGTGTGTCCC